AAAATATGTGCTTACCTTTCAGGTCTTCTTGGATTTTTTTTTCCCACCAACCATAAAGAGAAATATATTTTGGTAAGACTTAGCAACTATAGTTTTCACTTGCCTTTCAAGGAGTCAGGGAAGTTTTTGAAAACTGCTTCACGCCTTTTTACAGCTTCTATAGATAAGAACAGATTTCTGATCATTCAGTCATAAATGGGAAAAACTACTTTTATTAACATTTTGTCAGAGTTCAAACTTTTCTTTTCAAATTAAAATCAACGTTATTGCTGGTTGGCAGACTGGGTGGATTCATCAGAAGTCTGAGCATCACAGGTGACCTGTTTGGGACGTGTCCATTTACTTCAGAGCATAAAAAAAACATCCACATCATCACAGATATGGACATAAACAATGGGAAAAGCATCTTAATCCGTGTTTTCCACTTTATATTCATCTTTGTGTCTGTATGACTTGGATTTGATAGACTGAACTGTAAGTTTTGTCGTCGCGATTTACAAAAAAACAAACATATTTGTTGAAAATGCTGCAGTTTTATAAATAAAATAAGATTCAGCTGTGAAGAAAAAAGCTCATTTAGGTGAAGTGCTGCAGAAAAAACAGTTGAAGGCCGTTAACTCGCTGTGGAAGCAGTTTTGATGGAAAAAAAAAAAAGTTACCAACAAAACAACATGAAGTCTGAACCTTCATTATTTTCTACATTGCAAATAATAAATAAAATTTTATCTCAATAAACATGTTAGACAAGAAAAAGATGAACAGTGCAACAAAAGAACCACAGGAGACAACTAGTTCCTCTAAAGCTTTTATTGATATTTAAGTTTGCTTTGTAAGGATTTTCTTTGTTACACAGGGAAAAAAATAGCCACACAAGTAAATCTGACTTTGTTTCATTTGCTTCTAATCTTTTTTTTTATTATTATTATTGTTAATTATATTATTTTCCCTTATAAGCGCTAATGCTAAAAAAGTTACACAGGAACTAGCACACGGTTAACTAACTTTGTGAGCACATCGGGACGTTAAACTAATACTTCACATAGATAAAAACTTAACTTTAACATGTATAAGGGCAAAAAAAAAAGTATATTATGATTCAAAAGTAGGAGACAAACAAAAAGACAAAATGAACATTTACAACCACACAGCCCTGCAAAGGTCCAGAAAGAAGAACCGCTCCCCTCCTCCTGTCTCCTCCCACGTCTGACACTTTCAGTTTTATTTTCAGCCGCTTCTAACCAAACACTCACATTCCTGACATCTGAACACGCCTCAGAACAAACATCCTGGTCAGCATGCCAGTTTCCCTCGCGCCACAAAGCGCTCACTGTTTTCCCCTCTTAAAGCTCAAATGTGAGGAGCTGTTCACCGCTCCAGAAAGGTCGAAGAACTACAGAGCAAGAAAGCAGCCGACTCCGATAAATATCCTTGTGTATAAAAGACGCAGTATTCACATGCTTTCAAGTGATTAGACTGGGTCAGAACGGGTTTGTTCATTAATACAGGCGGTGTAAAGGCTGCATGTTACAGGGCAGTGGAAAGCTGTCACTTGTAATATTGTCAGAAGATTTGATTCACTGAGAAACTGTAAAAAATACCAAAAATAACTTTTTTTTTTTTTTCTGACGGCAGAATTTCGCTAAAACTCTTTTCTTTCGAGGCCCTTCTTTGGCAGTATGATGTTACCGTATTTTCCGGAGTATAAGTCACATCAGTCCCCAAAAAAAAAACATCATGAAGAGAAAAAAAAAACATATAAGTCGCTTTCGTCGCTGACCTGTCACATTTATCAAATAGTCAAAACAGCTTCATTTTGCCTGGACTGATCGATCGATCAGTCCAGGCAAAATGAAGCCATTCCTTCCTTCCATCCAGGCCTGAGCCGCTAGCTCTCCAGCGTTCCTCCGTCTGCACCAGCTGAGTGAAGCGAGCACACGCATGGGAGGACTTGCTGTTGCAGTTCTTAGAAAATTTAAAGCGTCAATCAAAAATTGCGTTATGAATATGAAAAAAGTACATAAGTTGCTTCGGCATATAAGTCACAGAACTGACAAATCTAAGGAAAAAACTGTGACTTATACACTGGAAAATACGGTACTTATTGGCTGTAATTGATAGCTGAAGGCTCAAACTCTTGGCTCTTCAGACATTTTTCCTCTGAGTGTTTTTGGCAGTGGTGGTGGTGGTGGGGGGGTGCTTTTGTTGGTCTAATATGTTTACTATACTTTCCCTAAAGACCGTATCCTTTCTCCTTTTTTGCTATTTATCCTGTTATCTGGAAACAAACGCTTCCATTCATCCCTTTTTGTCCTGACTTCATTAACACTCGTGTTTTTCTTGCTAAAAAAAAAAAAGTTCAGATTTGCTGAGGTTAGGGTTATAAACAATTAATATTTTACCTGTTGTAGATATTTTGAATGGCCTTGGTATGGAGAAAAAAAGTTTAATACAAGAGTCACACAATCCTTACGTGCATGTGCCATTGACACCCAAACCGAACATATGAAGATGACATGTCTGCTACGTTTGTCCATGAGAAGAGCAGTAAAAGTTAGAGCCCCACCGATATATCGGTTGGGGCGATATTTTAGGCCGATATAGATGTTTGGGGGCATATCGGTATCAGTGATAATCGTCTCATTATGCACCGATATAAGCACCGGGAACAAGCGTCCTTACTGGCAAAAGGTGCAGATGTACAACATATCCAGCAGAGGGCGCATGGAGACTACTTTCAAGCCATGGCTGTTCACTTTAAGTTTCACTTTCAGCACAGTCGAAGCAGCGCGCAATACCGCGTAGCGCATTTTGCTGAACACAGTAAGTTTGGTAAGTTTACAATGTATACACTGTTTATTATCAGGTTTATTATCAGGTTTGGGTCTCATTACCAAGAACTGAGCAATTTGTGTATTTGGACCAAACTGAAGAGCTAATAGTCCAAGTAGAGCCAAGTCCTAAGTGGACTGCTGCCGTCCTAAAACAATTTCAATTAAAGGAATTACATCCATCTATTATCTTTACCCACTTCTTCCATTTTGGGTCGCAGGGGTCACTGGTACCCATATCTAGCAGTCACTGTGTGAGAGGCGGGGGACACCCTGGACAGGTCTCCAGTCCATCACAAGGACACATAGAGATAAATGAGATAAACAACCATTCACTCTCTCACACACACCTAGAGACAATTTAGAGTTACCAATCAGTCTAACATGCATGTTTTTGGTCTGTGGGAGGAAACCAGAGTACCAGGAGAAAACCCACGCATGCACAGACAGAACATGCAAACTCCACCCAGAAAGGGCTTGGGACTGGGATTTGAACTGGCGACCTTCTCGGAGAGGTGGCAGCTCTACCAACTGAGCCACCGTGTAAAAGAATTACAGAGGTGCATAAAAACATACCATTTTATAAACTTATTCAATTCTATCAATTTTACAATATACAGTTATATTGGTAGCTACTAGCTATCTAGCATTAGCACTTTTGGTGTAGCCTACTGCTAGCTGCTGCTGCCGCTGATATTTTTGCTTGCAAATAACCATAAAGTTTCACACAACCATGTAAATCAAAACTGATGGTGATTATAAGTTAGTGTTCACATAAACAATACGTTTTTATAACGTCAGATTGTTGTGGTTTGTAAACGGCAGAAATCCACGTTGATCTTGGCTCAAGCTAGCAGTTAGCTAGCAGTTAGCCTGTTAATCTGGTCAGAATTAAACTTCATTTCTCCAAACTGAGATTGTTAAAGGAAGTTGTATGCAGAACTCATAGATAAAAGTAATTGTTCATAACCTTTTTCATTAAAATCCCACTCCAAAAGAAATCGGATCGATCCCTTTATATAGACTATAAATAGAAGAGTACGTTCGTTTCACCTCACGGCGCACGAAATTTAAGTAATCAGCCGGTTTGTTAGGAGGTATCCACGCACGGTAAGGGCTAAGAACATTGAGAACCCAGGTGATGAACACAGCGATCCTCATCCAAAGCAGCCACTGAGCGGCACAAGGGTGTGGCGTGCACACCAGACCGCCAGAAACATCGGAAGCACTTTTTAATGTGCGACACCAACGCGGTTCTTCATTTTATAATTCCTAAACTAAACACGCACACACAACTCATTCCCAGAATATGAAAGAAAAACCAAAACTAGTGAATATTCACATGGGCTAACACCAGGCATGCAAAGTCCAAACAGTCCAGAAGGAGAAAAAACAACAAGCTTCCACCCCTCCTCTTTAAATCCAATGAAAAGAAACAAAGAAAACAGAAGAAAATAAAAACACTTGATACGAAGGGGGGTGCAAATGGAAGACAGACAACCTGCAACATCAAGGTGGAAATAGTTGCTAGAATGGCTTTTTATTGGCTGTCACCAGCTGGCGAGTCAACCAATCAGTAGCTGCAGTCTCGTGTTGAGACAGGTTACAAATCTGAAAATAAAATAAAAAAGCGAACCCCCACCCCCCCAAAAAAAGCTTAAAAGTCATAGATACATTATTGTAAGTATCTCTGCTATAGTAGGTTTTATTCTATATCATATTAAAGTCATTATGTACTGTATGATTTTTTTTCTATTCCGTTGTCATCATCATCATCATCAGCATCATGAACTGTACTCTACAGATGTATTACTGTAGGTTAATGCTTCTATAGACCATAATCTGGGTAGAAATTAAAGGGCTCTATTGGCTGAAAGAGGGAGGAAGAAAGGACTACTTCCTGTTCTTCATCCTTCCTGTTTTTAATCTCTTCATGCTTCTAAAGACTGCATCACTGTAGAACAGCTGACTGGTTTCACCTGGGGGTGTAAACAAAAGGATTGGAGTATGGCAGCTCTATCTTTCACTAAAATCCCTTCATTTTTCTCTCTACCCCCTCCCTCCCTCCGTCTGTTCTGCTCTTGCGGGGAATGACGGGAGTTGTTTAGTGACAAATAAGAAACCCATTCGTCTTGTTCCTGCGTTATCATCGTGCTTCGCCATTGTCGTTTATTTTCGCCCTCCACTCTCGCGCATTCTCTCTCGGTGGTTTTTGGTTTTCTTCAACAGGACACCTCCATGGTTTGGGAGGGGCTGGGCGGCATCTGGCCACCCTGCGAGCCCTGGGACAGGGTGCGGGAGCGAGAGCGGGAGCCGTCCATGGAGTAGGAGGAAGAAAGTGAGGTGGTGCGAGAGCGGGACAGGCGCGTCATGCAGGAGGACGCCACTGTGGGGAAACACGAGACTCACATAAGCTGCTGCAATAGTTCAAAGTCCGGAACAAACTTTATGCCATATCCCACCAACGCTTTACATCGATCAATACAGTCTGTTCACAACGTGGCTGATAAATGTGCATGAGATAAATTTTCATTGTTATGCTGATAACACACAATTATATTTGTCCATTAAACCCAATGAATCCAATCAGCTACTTAGACTACAAGCATGTCTTAAAGACATAAAAACCTGGATGACCCTTAATTTTCTCCTGTTGAACACAGACAAGACTGAGGTTTTGGTTTTGGACCTGAGCACCTTAGGAATGAATGTTTCAGTCTTTCTCCCTCCTTAGATGGCATTAATCTGTCCTCCAGCTCTAACGTTAAAAATCTTGGTGTTATTTTTGATCAGGACATGTCTTTTATCCCCCACATTAAAAACGTTACTAGAACTGCCTTCTTCCACCTGTGTAATATCGTTAAAATTAGAAACATCTTGTCTAAAAATGATGCAGAAAAACTGGTCCATGCATTTGTCACGTCTAGACTGGACTATTGCAACGGTTTATT